AAATCATTATGTGATGAAGATATTTAAATATATTAATCGAATGAAATGTTAATTTTTATATTATTATGAAAATTAATTAAATTATTATGTAATAAATAAATAAATTAAATTGATAAGTCAAAAGCTACAATTTTTTTTTTTAAAAAAATAAATAATTAAATTCTTATGCAAATTAAATGACTCTTTTTATTTATTTAAAAAAATGCCTCTTTTTTAATTAATTAAATTATGACTCTTCTACATTAATTTTTTAATACAATACCCATAGAAAAACATACACAATAAACTTTAAATAAATGACGTAAAATAATTATTCTACACACCATCACACAAAATCATTTTTTCATATTATATTATTATTCAGGCACAAAACTTTGTTTTGTGAGGCGCTACTCCAACCTCCAGAAGTGTAGTGTCAAGTGTACAATATGCAATGGGCCCCGCGAATGTGTAATCCGCAAACCAAGCACTTTGCTTCTCCACCGTCATAGATATTATACAAACTGAGCTTGTGCTGAGCTTGTGCTGGGGTTACTCTTAAGTTGTTTTAATTTGTAGGTGGGACCAATTTAATTAAATTGTGTAAGTTCATTGGGTGTGAATACCAATGACATGACATGCCCTGGTTCATTCAATATCTACTCCCTGACTAGAGTGTTAATTTACTATGTTTCCCTATGCATATAAAATATATTACTAAAATACCCAAATATATGTATACTTAGGTCTGTTTGGTTAGACGAAAATTTTTATGGAAAGTAAAAGTGAAAGTGAAAGTGAAACAAAGCAAAATCAAGTTTCCGTCGTGTATTTGGTTAACAGTAAATTTTTTAAAGAAAGTTGTGAGAAAATATTATTTTGTTAGTTTGGATAGCATGAAAAATTAAAGAATATGATTCTAGTTACTGAAAATATCCTTATAATTTTAAGTAGTAAAAAATAAATAAATTTATGTTAGATGAATATTATTTATACTTAATTATTTATTTTAACAAGGAAATGGTGAAATATGGATTAGAATAGTATGTGATATCATCTCTCTCTCTCTCTCTCTCTCTCTATATATATATATATATATATATATATATATACTTGTTATTATGTAGACTTGAATTTTCAATCTTTTATTTTTTAAGGTAAGAAAAATAGCTTTTGGTAGAGTAGAAAATCAGAGTTCAAAGTATTTATTTTCTTCTTATCTTCGTTTTTATTTTTATTATTTATTATTTATTTGTAAATGATGTAATTGGATACTATATATTTAATTATAGCTAATTACAATTTTTTCACATGGTTGAGAAAATAAAAGGTCATGGACTGACTTTTAACTCTCTCAAGATAATGTTTGATGTTGGATATGAAACAAATTGTGTTAAGATAATGTAGACTGGTTTCGCCAAACATTTTTGCAATCAACAAATAGTTATGTATATATATTATAACTGTTAATCATTATTAATTATAGAAAAAAAAAATATATATATATATATATATATATATATATATATATATATATATATATCTTACTTATTTCAGACCTTTCGTAAAGAAAAAAAATAATTCAATAATGAAAGGAAAAAATAAATTAATTTTGGATGCACACATAAAAATACAAACAATTAAATTAGTAATACATGATTGTATAAAAAAACAATTTATAGAAGTAATGAACTCTCTTTTTCAATGAAATCTGTGTAATTAAGTGAAGATGAAAAAAGACAACTAATATGGGTATAATAGAAAAGTAATATATAAAGTGCACAACTTTTGCTGGAAAGTAAATTTTCATATGTTTTATTCTCTCGCCCTCTTACTGTCCCCCTCCAAGACCGCTGAACTGAACTAAATCCAGCCGTTACTCATTTAGGGCTACCACCGGAATGTTTGCTAACTTCCTCCATTAACGGCTAATTGGCCGTTAATTGCAGTTATTAGCTTGTTTTGGGGCTGTGGTTTTTTACTTGTTTTGGGCCTAAAATTTTGGGCTGCTTTGTTGCCTTCATTGGGTTGTTCTTGGCCGAAGGGCTCACACTGTAATTACCTTTATATTTATCTCAATGCTTAAGTTTTCGAAAAAAAATAATAATAATTTCCAAAAAGTTTAAATGTTTTTTTTTTTTTTTTTTTCCTTTATAGTTACTTGACGCTAACCAAACTGACCCTTAAAGAAACCCTAGAAGGATATATAGACCTAATTGACTTCTTACTCAATAGGCAGCCTCCCTCCCAGTTTTGGAAACTTCATCACACATGTAATTAGGAAACATAAGTATCTCTTTTAAGTATCATTTTTTATGATTTTTTTTTTCTTTCATTTTTGCATTGATCTGAGATGTATATAACACTTTTGAGTTTCATTTTTTTGTACAAATATGATTTTATTTTATTTTATTTTTTTATTTTTATTATTCATCATATTTGATTTTTTTATTCATCACAGCTGAGTTTCATTTTTGTATAGTTTGAAACTTTTTTTTTTTTTTTTTTTGCCTTTTTGTATTATTCATCAACTTATTCAAATTTAATTTATTATTATTATTCATCACAGGCTGAGCCTGAGAGTAGCACCAAGCACTAAAATCAGTTGTGATTTAAGGGGGCAGGGCAGTTATGGGGTGATCTTTTAATCGGTTATGTGGTGATTATAAAGACAACAAAATTAAATGGGGCAGGGATGGGGAATGGAATCTCCACCCCCAAACTGTCTCGTTGCTATTTCTGTGTTCAAGCGATGTTATCATTTTGCATTTTTGTTTTTAAGACAAAAATTCATGATATTTTTTGTCTTAAATGACAAAGACCAAGAAATCCTAACCCTAATCACTCACATTCGTTGTTCATCCATTCGCCTTTCATCACTCTTGGTAAGGGCTGAAATATGCACAATTCAGTCCTTACCTTACATAAATTAGCACCCTATTCTATCTTTGTTTTACAATTTTAGCCTTTATTTGCTTAATTTTTTTATTTTATTTCAGGTGTTTATAGCTAATCAGAGCTTAATTTTAACACTCCTATGAAGTCTTGACAAAGAGGAAGGAGCAAAAGAAAGTTGAACTGCATAATATAATTTTTTACTCATTATTTTATAATTTTTGTCCCAAAAACTTTTTTTTATTAAGCTGTATCGACCACTGCAATTACATTGATAAAAGAATTGAATAAAGGAATGAAAATTTAAATGCCCGTTCAACGATGTTTTCTAAGAAATGACTCTTAACGAATTTTTGGCGTTAATACTAAGATGGTTTGCATTTTGAAGTATCAAATGATCAAACTTATAAAGACGTATTAAATCAATATTACAAAACTAGCCAATAAAAACTACAGAGTATTTAAGATTTGTAACAAAAAATAAAAAAATTATAGAATCGTTATCGCTCCTCACGTTTGATTCAATGCGCGTTTGTTTGTTTGTTTTTTTTTTTTTTTTTTTTTTTAAAATAATTAAGGTGACAGTGAGGTTTGGACTCGAGACTTTTTGACTCTTATGTCATTTTAATAATCATTTACTCCAAAAGTTTAAGTTATTTAGGAGAGTGTAACTTTAATATTTATATCCTTCAACAATTACCAAACAAGTCTTAGTTGCTTGATCTCAACCGAATGAGTACAAAACCCATGTTGACGACGAGAAATTATTAATTGAAACTGTTGCAACGATGACGTGGTGTAACAGATGGTTACAAATACTCTACCAAAGTAAAGAGAACCTACAATAAAATAAAAAAGCTAATATATATGCTTTGGTGGAGTGTTTGTAGCCGTTCATTACACCACGTTATCGTTGCAACGATTATAATGAATAATTTCTTGTTGACGACCAATTGATTTGGATCGACCTTAACGCCTTATTCAAGGACAAATTGGTGTATCTCAACCCCCCCCCCCACACACACACACACACACACACACACACACACATATATTTTATAGGTAGGTCTCACTTGGATAAGACACATATCAATGGGATAAGGGGATGGATCCATTAACCCTCCCTAAATGGGTGGTAGCTGATCCTTAGATTTTGAGTACTTGTTTTTTAAATGATTTATATTTTTAATTGCAATTCTGTAAATTTGATCTCTCAAAATTGCTTGCACCCTAGTGAGACACTCATAACTCATTTCAGAGTATAATCGGGCTGCATGGAATTGAAATCTTAAAATTAGAATTGGAGCCTTGGAATTAGAGAAAAACTTAGTTCGAAGTCATATAAAACTAAATTAGAATTTTCTTCAATTTCATGCAGCCGAACATAGCTCAGTATTTTCAGAAACAACAAAATCAAGCAGGAAATTTACATAGTATTGTAAGAATAAGTAAAAATTAGAATGACAAGTAAATATTTTGGTGAAAAATTGGTCTATGTTCCTCTGAAATCTCACCAAATCAATCACCATATGCATTTCTTGCCGGATTTTGGCACCAACATTTTCTAAGACTCACCGGTAACTTGTTAATGGTATCTCTAACTGTGCAAATGTTGAAATCAGAGAATTAAAAGAAGAAATTCATGAAAATAAGAAGGGAAAAAGGAAGAGGAAAGAATTTAACTGGTGTGAATTAAATGAACAATTTGGTTTTTTCAAACCAAACATGTAGTGTAAAAGGCTAAAAGCAACAATACTTGCACACCAAATGAACAACTAAATTGAATCTCACACCAGAATGTGATAAAGTTACTTCCACTTTGAAGTCATGAAGCTCATTCACATAGACAGATTGCTCTATACCACACTTGACATATTTTACCATTGTCCATTAAATGGCACATTCTATAAATACTCTACTAATCATTCCAAAGCTTCAAGCACATTGCTGTGCTTAACTTCTCATTCCATGCTACTTCATTCTCTCTCCCTCTTTTTGTATGCCAAGAATGAGCCAGACCTATAAATGTGAAACTGCTTGATGGGATAAGATAATGTAAAAATGCAGTAAATTTTCATCAAAGAGGTTAAAAAACTAATATTGGCTTCTACAAACACAATTCAATGTATTACAAGCGGCCTCCTGAATTTTAAGGGCAAGCCGGTGTATTATAAACGGTGGAACACTATAATACAAATGATTGTCATGATGTAACAATTTTGATACAGATAATAATATACAGAGCATTCACAGGACATATTCATTACAGTTAAATACAGTAAAAGTGAAATGTAAGAAAAAAGCAAAAAACACAAAATAGAACATATTCTCTTCTACTTTAAGTACTTCATGCCTAAAACATCCATGCCCTGCTAGTTGGCCGGTAGAACAGATGAAATCTAAGAAATATTTGGAGTTGGGTTACCAAAACTTGACAGTCCAAGATTAACCCTATAATCACTGAGGACAATCACAGCATCAGACTTCATATCCAGGGTTTACTTTCTGTTGAACATCTCCATAACTCTCCAACTCTTCTATATCATCTGAACTTCCCAGAAACAAAGGAAGTCTTTGATGCAGCTCGACTGGCTGAATTGACAAAATTCTACTTTTACCGTCAGAACCTCTACCTCCAGCTTGCTCCACAAGGAAACTAAGAGGGTTTGCCTCATAAACAAGGCGAAGATGGTCCCTTGGATTCATTGCGACTCCGCCATACAAGAGAGTCCGATGGAAATCAGCAACAAGAGAACATATGTAACGGGCAGAGTACTTCTTAGGGTATTTGCCTTTGCCTTGCCTGACAGTGTCTATATATCGCCTTAAACCTTCGGGCCAGTCAAAATATCGTGCATCATTTACAGAATAGATTTGCCCTGACATAACAGAGCAGCCATCTTTAATAAGATCTCAAGGAATCCAAACTGAATACCCATAAAATTTCTTCCTTTTCATGGACACACATTAGATGAAAACTAATAATGGTGATATTAATTATTATGCTGGAAATTTAATCGTCACGCATAAAATATACAAGCCAGTCACAAGCACTAATATGACAGAGCAGCCATTATATGAAAACTAGTAATGGTAATTTATCATTATTACACCAGAATTCTATTGTAATTCCTTTCTAAACATAAAATAAACAAGACATTAACCCTTGAAATAATGCACATATTTAACATGGTACTACAAATCAAGAAGGGAATTGCAAGACAGTAAAGATACCAATATATAGTCCTATAGGGAAGCAATCCCTTTAATTGAGTCTAGCAGTAGGAATCTACAATATACAAGAAGAAACCACACAAAATCAGATCCATTTTCATCATTGCTATTCAATTTAGGTTACGTTGTAAGTAATAGTTTCGATAGGAAGGAAATTCCTCAAAGATATACAATTAATTTAGTTGCAATATCAGTCAATACCATGCAATTTGCATGCTCTTTTAATGCGTCATGATGTTTAGATAATAAATGTAGAACATTTTACCTCTAGGAGGAATTTTAATGCTTGGATGTGTGAGAATAAAGTCCCCTGTTGAGTGATCCAGTGTGAATGCATGAGTTCCTGAACCAAAGCTGGTACAAAGTATTGTGGCAGATGAATAGAGAACATAACCAGCAGCTACAAGCCTAGTTCCACTCTGGAGTGAATTTAGCATTGCCTTTTCCTCCAATGGCAGATGGTCTACTTCCACAAGGTGGTTATAAATCCCAAAAATTGTCCCGGTAGGAATAGATGCATCAATATTTCGGGAACCATCTAGGGGATCTGTGACCACGACAAATGGGCCGTCATCTGTTATCCAAACTGGAGCATCATCTTCTTCTGAGGCAAAAACTGCAACTTTTCCAGAATTTTTCAGGGATGACAAAAGAATCTCATTCTGCACAAGATTACAGCCAAACAGAATAACTCTTTAAATTACTATTTGATACTAAGAACTTTAGAAAGGAAAGCCACAGTTAGGGCAAAATAAGTGTTGTGAACCAAAAAACTCATATGATTTCAATTTGACATCAATCTTTTGCGCAATCAAATGCTATCATAAATTCAAGCAACAAACTTGTTATCGGACCATTTATGACTATCTATTTTAACACTAAAACTAACTGAAGGTTTCTCTCACAATTATATTTTCCCCTGAATTCTCTCACAATTATTCTCAATAACCGATATAAGAGAAGCACCCAGAATGTAGCACACAGATTTGGCAAAGGATTGGATAGGGTATGGTTCGGTTCACAATTTAGAAATTAATCAGGATGGGGCATATTATAAAGGTTTAGACACCCAAACCAAACCCATAAATGACTGCATAAGCTAAAAGTTTTATCTTAAAGTAGAAAACACTTGGGTGCTTGCAGTTCAAATCAGGTCCAGGAGGTATTACTGCAAGATGCAATTACTATAGAAACACCAAATGACAAAAGTGAAAATGGTGGTAAAAAATGAAAAGAGTAACATGTATTATTCTGGAAGAAACCCTGATTGCTTATCATTCGAAACTCTCGTAACTATTTCCATAGGGAAAACTCTCTAATTAGGACAGGCAGAAAAAAAAATAAAAATAAAAAAATCAGTTCCATGTAGCAACAGGAAAGGTGCTATATGAAGCAAAAGTGCCTCAACACTTAATTTGACCTACACTTCACAATATGAAAAGGACCATATCCTTATGATTTATGAATGACAAAGTTAGTGCACATTACATGGGTTCCCTTTTCTATTAATATCAGAAGAACATACCGCCTAATCAGACACCAAAAGATCTGCATTGAACAACATTTCGTCGTTATTGAACTTCTTTCTTAACAGCAATTTCTGTATGCTTAAACAGTCCATTCATTCATGATATACAGACGTTGTCAGTATAAATATTTAGATTGCCGTCAATGTCTAAAGAAGGCTGATCTCATAGACCCAACACATCATGATGACGAGATCACTTTCATGGTCAATCCAAGTAAATTAAGGTAATAGAATTTCCATTTCGATATTAGGTTCATCAAATAAAAATTTAGGTTACATAATCTAACTAGAGAAGATGTAAAAAACAGATTAAACTAAGAATATTTAGCAAAAAGTCCAAAATGGTCAAGTGACCTGCAACATTTACATGAAGTGACGTTTATGTCACAAGCAATCAATTGGAAGATTAAAGCTGTTGAGAACTGCTTCATCTTTTGAACAAGGAAGCTTCTTGGCCGAAGTCATTGATGTTATGAAAATGAAATTCATAAGCATCCCATGAATGGTAATGGTTTTCAGGGCTGCTATAACAGTGCCTGGGCACGGTGACAGTAAGGGCCGAGTTAGGCCGGCCACCCCACTGATTATTTAATTTATTTATACTACATTCCTAAAATTTGGTCAAAATTCTAAAAATACCCCACTGAAATTTTAGCAAAACCCCTTGTACATGCCCCCAAACCTGCCACAATCATCCCTTCTATCTATTTTTTAAACTTCACTCTGCTTCTTGGATATGGGTTGACCACAAATTTTCTAAGATCATCTTTAATTACCATCTTGGTCTACCAAAAAAATCTAAGAGTAATCACATAAAACTGGTTAGTTTTAAAATTTTCTTTTTTTTTTTTTTTTTTTTTTTTTAATTCAGAATTTTATGATAGAGTATACACAGTTCTTGTTAGAATTCCTTTAACTTGAATTGCTTTAGTATGTTAGCCAAATAATAATTAAAATCAGAGTATTTACCAAAAAATAATTGAAATGGAAATATGAGAGATTTAGATGAGAATATCTATTAAGTTGAAGTTCTTTTGTTTATTACAGTAGATTGAAAAAAAAAAAAAATCTTATTATTGTTCAAGGTCGCCGCCCCCTCTCAAATCATTTTCTACCTGTGTCACTGGCAGTGCCTGTGTTGTGTCCACTATCCTCAAACATCCAACATATCATTCATATACTACTCTTATTCTCTTTAAACATTTAAATTAATCTAATCAAAGTTGCATAACACCACAAGAACCTTTAAATGAGCATCAAAGGCTACAAATATAGAACATGATCAATTCTACCACAGTTATAGCCACATATGTGGGAATTCAATGATAAAGTGGTTACTGAACTCACTGATACGATATCGAGCGGCTTCGGGGCATCTCTGCCTGTGCCACCACTGCCACCGGCAACACCCTTGTTCTTGCTGAGACTAGAATTGTAAGGAGAGGCCACAATAGCTGCAATTCTCTTGCAAGCGTACTCCAAATGACCATACAACACCACTAAGTCATCACCCACATTTGCCCCTCCCTTCCCCACATATTCCATTAGAGTAGGCAACCCACCATCACCACCAAAACCACCACCACCACCACCACCACCCAGTTGTGAATTTATCCTAAACCCACCAGGAAAATCCATTCTTGGCCAATAAAGATTGCTTCTTCCCGCGAGAACTCTCTGTTTTGGCGGGAAACCCTGCAGTTTTGGCTGGAAAACGCGGGAGATTGGCGGGAAACTGGTATTCGTTGGACCCAGGAGTACTATAGTATTAGTGGATGCTTGCATTATAGAACTTTGCAGCTTTTGGTGGTTGAGATGACGGCTCGGGATGGGTTGATTGGAGAATTGGAAGTGAAGGGTGTCATCTGAAACTGATTATTAGGGTTTTGTCTGAATTTCAAAGAAATCAGCAGAAAAGAGGATAACATGAATGAAACAATCGGATAAAATCTATTGGGTTTTCAGTTGTCTGTCAATCTGGCATTTTTTTTTTGTTTTTGTTTTTGTTTTTTTCAATGTCAGTTGGCTTTGCACATGACTATGATTTTTCTTTTTTTCCCCTTGTAAGCCTAGTTGGTCCTTAGCGGTTAGTGGATCGCATAGCCCTTTGCTTTTGGGTTGGTCCTTGTCATGGGTTTATGGCCATTTGCTCATGGGCTGGAATTGTTACTAGGCATTTTTTTTCTATGTCTATCACGACAATGGTGGTGTCAAGCCTCTTAGAGTCTTACGGAGCATGACAATGAGCTCTCTTTACGAGAATTTCGAAGTTGAATCCTACATGGACCAGTTTTGTGTGAGTTGCTTACCTTATAAAAAAAAAAAAAAAAAATCCTTACGCTGATAATGTAGACTAATCATCATGTTAGGTGCCATTTGATGACCATATTAATTCTAAATGAATTACGTTTATTCAATTAGAGTACTTATTCAATTAGGTACACTTGATAGCACAATTTGAATATTAGTCCCGCTTAGAATAAGGGACTCAACACCTGAAACCCAAAATTTATTTAGAAATATCTTAATTTATAATTACTACTTAAAACTTTCAATTCTCAATTTACAATTTTATCAAACAACTCATAAAAGTTTATCTTCTCCAAGGATTCCAGTCAATCACTAGTTTTGCAATTTGAAACAAAAGTTAGTATGACCTAAACTCAACTTCAAAAATAGGATTATATTTCAGAAGCATGGATATGAAACCAAACTGACATCCTAGCACAGGGTACAGCTGTTAAACAATCGTTTCCAACCAGTTGACTAAAGAAATGCGCATAATGTGTGTTCACGGTAACAAATTTGTCATTTAAGAATTACTAAGCATGGAAATTTTTCAAAAAAAAAAACATATATTTACCTATTTTTTGTGTGAGGAAGAATCTATTTATATTGTAAAAATAAAATACAAACCCTCATTCCACAATAATCTAACATGAGAACAGGTTTGAACCAAACTCTACTCCAAGCAGACAAGCGCACTCCAACTCGTTCAAACAACCCGCACGGGTGGCCCAATAGTTAAAGAGTCAAGGTACGAGCCATAAACTCTGACATAAACTCGGACATCCTGAGTGTTAAATAATATGTGTGATATGCGAGTGATTATATATATCCGAGATTTACCTTTTAAGCACAAGTCCAAAGGGCCGGTGTTTGGAAGGGTTAAAAAATAAAAAATAAAAAAACTTTCAAGATGAGAGGTACACAGATATGACAAATACAATGCAATTGACTTATGAACTTCAATCTAGCAATTGGAAGGGTACTACAGAGGATATATATACATCGATGGAAGATTGCCTCAACAAAGAGAGCAGGAAAAGCACCAAAGATTCACTACATCACAAAGCTTTAGTGAATACCCAAAATTAACATCTCAAAATTTTGGTGGTCATTCATCAAGTATTATTACTTCATAATGCTTAGTTGCCTGCAAGTACACCAGTCAGTCTTGTGAGCATTGTACATGTGTCGCGAAACCCTTGGCTTTCTCTCTGCTGCTCTAGATGGAGGACTTTATGTCAACAAACATTTCTAACCTGCAAAAATACCAAAACAAACAAACAAAAATAAATAAATAAGCAATGGAGAAAATATGTTCCTGAGCATACTGGCTAACAATTGTAATACATCATTTTATAATGAATTCTACATTAAGCTGCCATTGATGAAATTTTGATTCTGCAATGGAGTTCACAGGGGAAATCTGTAAAGATATTATCCCCAAAAATTTTAAAATCTGTCTCAATATATCCTCATATAATCATTTGAACACGACACACACACACACACACACAGTGAGGGAGAGGGGGGAAGATTATCTTCATGGAATCATTGAACCAGAGAGAGAGAGATGCTTCACACCATTCTATGCACTGGCTGGAGAAGAACAAGTCTTAACAACAGAGTTGTCCGAAAATTGGCACATTCAATGTTAAAATTCTAGGAAGAGCATGAACTCATTCCAAAAGTATAGACCGGGGTAAATATTACGCCACTAGTATCACATAGACCATAAAGAACTTGCATCACAACTTTTACGATCAAAGATTCACATTAATGATTGAGCAGAACAGCTAATTCATTAAATCAAAGATATTTTGTTGCTTTGAGGTGTCACAGCTAGATTTCGCCCAAACATGCCCAGGAAGTCGTACAATCGAAAAGACTAAGCTCCGAATAGTACATGTCAGTTCAAAACAGGCTAAGCCAAGCTCCCTTTTTTTTTTTTTTTTTTTGATAAGTAAAACAGGCTGAGCCAAGCTTGAGCTTATGATTTCTCATTCTGGCAAGGGTTGAGCTACTCTTAGTTCAGCCCGATCACAAAGTCCACCGTTAACATGTAGAAATTGCGTTATTTAACACAATCCAAATACAAAAAAGGTAACTTATTTAGTTATTATTTGTTCTTTGTTATTATTTACCTTTTTATGGATAATGGGCATACAATTTATCAATATAGACATGCATGTGTGCGTGCACAAGAGTGCCAGAGAGATTCAAATTCGCAAATCGAACAATTGAATCAACATAATTTGTTTGCTGGCAGATAATTCAATTTGGCAATATTATTTTCAAATTAAACCTTCTTTGTCAGGAGATCCAATTGTAAAAATTTGTGCTTTCAAAGCCTACTTTTTTAGGAGGAAGAACTTACCTACAAAATCGGAAAAAGAATAAACAAGTTCAAACTTTATGTACAAGTACAATCTATTCTTGCAGCCTCAGCTGATTGAAGAACACCAAGAAATGATACTCAGGCGCCCAATAAACAAATCCAACTACAGGCCCCCCTTTAATGTACTGCACAAACGCATTTCACAATCAGTATGAATTTGGTAAAATGATAAAATATGGCATAGTTTCAATAGAACTCATAACAGCTTGACAAATCAACTAGACAAAATAATATAGAGGACTAAAAACCTTTCCATCCAGAATAACAAGTTCACCATCGACCCATCGAGGATTCTGGAACCCTGGCTCAGCAAGCCTCCCTTGGCCCTTGTATCGAGCAATCTGAATTACCAAGAAGATCACTCAACATTAAAGGAAAATAATAAAAAACAAAAATGAGGTGATGAAGCCTAATGTACAGTTAATAACGTTTTCAAAGCAAGATTAGCAAGAAGACACGGAATAAGAAAAGAAAAAGGGGAAAGATATTAAATTTTCACAAGCAAAAACAATATACCACTCCAAATTCTTCTGGAATAATTCCTTTGTGAGGAAGCTGATATCTTTTCCCAACCTTTGCACGGAATGCTACCTGTAGATATGGTCAAATATTACATCATCAAGCTTTAGTCCGAAGGACTAGATATGTAGAGTATTGTTGTAAAGACTATTGTAAGAGTATAACTTATTTAAATCATGATCTGCTCAAAATTTCTCTTGCATCCCAAACAGGCAATAAATGGCCCCTTTGGGTTGTCAAGGTTCCACATTTTGTATATCAAGTTCTGCTAAAATAGTAATCTTGTGTCCCAAAAAGACAATAAATAGCGCCTTCAGTTTCTTAAGCCTAAAAAGCTTCCCATAAAAATATATTGTACGAGACGGTTGATATCAATAAAATCTAAACTAATTGGTATGAAAAAAAAAAAAAAAAAAAAGTGAGAGAAGAAAACATCACAATTGACTAAATATAGCAACCTTATTGATTTATTTACTATAATCTCATTTGAAGTTACACGGCATGCACATTCATAGTTATTAAAAGCTCAAGGTGCACTAAGACGACGAGGTCTCCTCGAACCTAAGTGCACGGCGCAACGTAAGCGTGAGCATGATCGAAGTAAGGCACATGTATAATAAAGATAAATATTAAATGGACATGGGAAAAAATAAAAAATGCAACACATAATACAAGATCAAAATAAAGGATTTTTTCAGTATATAATTCGAGCGTGGGAAAAAACACAACAATATATTAATACAAACACACACACAAATAAGACATTTAACTTTGAATAGTTATCTACCAAATAAAATAGTTGCACAATAAGGAATATGAAACTCAACAATGTTATTTACAGAATCATATTATGCATATGAAACTACTACTATCTAGTTTTATATTTCTTACGTCACTTTCCTATACGAAAAAGTGATGTCGCATGGTTGGTTAGTAGCAGCCATGTGTAAGATGTCAAACTCTTCATGGAAAATAAGAATTGGCTTTTGTGCTTGCAAGCGTACCAACAGGGCTCCTACTAAGAGTGTCAACGTTATTGTATATGTGATGTCCTAAATTTTTAATAGGCTATTTAATTATGTATTATGGATTAAATCACATTTAATTTAGATTAATCATTTTATTTTGTTAATACTCTTTAAATTATATGGAAATGTGGGGAGCCAAGTAGAGTGGTAAAGAATAAAATTTAATTAGTAGTGGTGGAGGAAACAGAAATATAAGGAGATAGGAGGGTCAAATATAATATTTCAAACATGGGGTGACGTGTCAACCCCATGCAAGAAGTAAGACGAGTGTATGAGGTCTCATACACGTGGGTTGTAATGGGGAAAATATAGAGGGAAAAGAAGAAAAGAGAGAAAAACTAAAAGAAAAGGAAGTGAGAGATAGCTGGTTGTGCCCAGCGAGAAACAAAGAGAGAGAAAGAGAAAGAAGAAGAAGAAGCAAAAGTGGAAAATTCATATGATCATAGCAAATTTGCATTTTAGGTAAGGAAATACTGACCTCTACTCACTTTGAGTCCGTTCTCATTCTTTGCAAAAACTGGTTTTTTTTTTCAGCTCTTGTTCTATTTCTAATGTATATACCTTGGCCTTCTTTCTAAAAAGTATTTAAAGCATAAATAATTGCAGATCTGTTTTTGCATGATGTTTTATTTTTTATTTTTTATTTTTTAAGCATGATTATTTACAAGAATTTAATCATGAAATGTTATACCGTATTCTACATGATTATAGCCTATTCTTTTGTTAAAATGCGGATTTATCCGTTATATTGCACTGTCGATTTTAGACAACAAATGTCATATGAAAAAGCTCTTGATTTGCAACTTGGGTTTGATATTTTTAGAAAATGAGCTTTATTGGTTTTGACCAAGTGTTTAGGTATGTTGCTGGTGAACGTGTTGAATCAAGAAAATTTTGGGCTGCGATACTGGGGTGAAATTCCCTAAAGAAGCAAGTGAGGAGTTACCCTTGGGTGTAAGATCTTAAACCCACGTGGTAGACCCTTGTTTGGGTATTGGGGCCATGCCAGTGCGGAAGGTTGGCCGGTGGATCCTCTGGGAGAACCGCCATTGGTTGATACTTTGATAAATGCATTCACCTGTTGAAAATAAAAGAAGGGACTGGAAAGGAATTTTAATAATTATTGCAGCCTTTATGATCAGTTTGCATATTATTCCCTCCGTCTCACAAAAAATGTCCACCTTTCCATTTTTGGCTGTCCCAAAATAAATGTCCCAATTCAAAAGTCAAAAGTACTATTTTTTGTAAAATTACCAATTTAACCTTGTTGCTTTGAACTTATAAAAGGTAAACCATCACATCCATGTGGACCCACTATGGATAGATTTGGCAATTCATTCACTAACAATACAATTAAAAAAAATCCTAAAACTCATCCTCTTACAAAGTTAGATTCCCAAAAAGAGACATTTTTTGTGGGACGGAGGGAGTATATTTTAAAGTTAAGTCCCTTCATTTTATAAACATTTTAGAGACTATGTATTTTGCAAAAATGGTATTTTTGGAAAATAGCATGATGCATTAAAAAAACCTCATAGTGGTACTAGTTAGTACCCTTTACTATTTCAGGTAATGATACCTGAGGTGGTGGTGATGATGCTAAATGAGGAATTTGGAACTTGTAGATGGAATTACTTTTGTTGATACAGTGCTACTCCTTGGATAGATTTCTTTTACTGTATTTTGTTTTGGCATGTGATTATTATGTACATATGTATATGGCCTAATCTGGATGAATGGTGCTGAAACTCACTTCTTTTGAAAACTTTTAACATGCCTAGTTCTTGCTTTCTAAGGTTCCATGTTTTGTATGTATTGGAGAAACCTTTTCCATGTTCTAGGTATGTATAGAGAAGCTTGAATCCATGTTTGTTGTGTCCCCTCGGAAGTGATTTGGTCTGGTAGAGCTTTCTGGTCTAATGGTTACATATGCTATGTATGTTTTCATCTATTATTACAGATTGCATCTTAAAATGCTTATTTTCATTCTCTGGTTTGATATTTAACTGCTGCGTTTGTTTTTATTTTTTATTTTTTAAAACTTGTTTAAGGGAGAGTCAACAAAATTCTTTGGTATGATTCTGTTAATACACATGGAATATTTGAGATTGGTACTGACATTGCTACTGATCTTAAATTTTTCAAGGAAGCTGATATGTCAAATACTGTAAAAATCTGCTATGATAAAAAGAAATTTAACGACATTTGAAAAGATGGACTTCTTTGGTAGCTAATTGATGAAGTTTCTTTGGTATCTAAGATTTAGTTTTGGCCTCCTAACTTGGAAAGCAAACTTATTTAATAAAATAGTTTGTTAAACTCAGTCCCTAAGGCCGTTAATGAAGTTTCTTTTGATTTATTAGTGAGAACCCAAATCCCCTTGGATTCCCTATATATATATATATATATATATATATATATATATATTTTCCTAGTTCTCATGAGACTGACTTTAGGGACATTAGAATTCCAGACAAGTAGAAATTCCCAGCAAATCAATAATTTTTTTATTTTATTTCATTGTTCATATCAAAGTGGTTAAAGGATGAATAACCATATAAACAAATGTTTAATTTACTTCCTTATTTCCCTGACCCTCACATCCTGGACTGTGACAGTATATGTCATGTGTTAGGGAGTCTCTGCCAAGGCACCAAGTCTCAACCAAGTGCCCAAAATTATAAAAGGTATTTTCAAATAATGGACACATCTAAGAAATACTGACACTTATCTAGAAGGGTCAAAGTTGGTACCTGAGACACTTAAGGGTCCTTTATAGAAATGTTTGTGCTACTTGGACGTCTAGAAAATACATGCAAGTACATCTTGTAGAAGATCTAAATCTTTTTACAATATCTAATATAACAAATGTAAGAACTCTATTGTGTTCTAGAAATACATAAATCTCCAAATATTCATGAGGTGTCTATCAAACAGGCGATGCATGCATTAAATCTAGCTCTACCAATAACATTGAACATGTCCTAAACCTCAACAGGGGGAAAAAAAAAATTAATAAAGCTATAAAGTAAAATAAATAAGTTAATAAATAAAAGGACATGTAAATCAAATGCTAAAATTAAAAATAAATATTACCTGGCCAGCTGGCACATAAGGATCCCCAGTTACTTTTACAGCTTCCACATACTCATAAAACTCAAGATTTGGAGGCCCCTTAATCCCACCATCATCTTGCCACTGACCAAATTTGCGTCTCAAATGAATGACTTCTGAAGTGTAAAGCCCGTGCGCACCAATGTATAGGCCTGACGAGATCACAACATTCTCAGTACATTTAGAGTAACATAGGCTAGAACATTCAGCCTATAACAGAGTAAGTGGAGATGCAGAAGCATAGAAGCATAAGGTACTAAAGTACTACAGGCAGCACTGAAGCAACAAAGTAGCATCCAATGATATCACCAAGAAATACTGCAATTAGATTACCATTTAGAGGATCAGGAGATGCTGGAATCTCAATGCGACTAAATGTTGTTGATCCATACAATGGTTGACGATTTTGAACCTGGCTGAGGGTGAGACTTATCAGTTCACCAACATCTCTAAGCACCTGCATATGCAGAATAGTTTATGAACCACGTAATCTTAGGTAAATACTAGTTATAAGAAAATAGAAGTAAAAAAAAAAAAAAATAAGACATGTAAACACTCAGACCAACCTTCATCGGTATCTTTCCCCTGCCAACGATCTTTGAGAGATCAAACATAACACGCTCTATGCTATTTTGACCTTGAAGCTTGGCTTTTTTGTTTGGTGAAGTTTGCCCCTTGCCACCAGAAACCTGTCGACTGTCCTCTTTCTCTATAGAAAAAGAAAATGACAAGCGACCTTTATTCTCTAGCTTAGCTGGCACTCGAAGTAAATCTTTATTACGCGCACTGCTGGAAAGTTTCTGTACAAGACCACTACCAAGAACAACCTTGACTGCAATTTCACTTTGCTCTTCACCATCAATAGTTCCACTATCGGCATCCATTTCAATCTCATTTAGCTCTTGATCGCTGTCACTTTTGACTTCATCTTCTGCATCAACATTATCCAACTCAAAATCCTTTTCTTCATCTTCTTCCTCCATTATTTGCTCAATCACTTTAGATATTATATCCCGATCTACCTTCCCCGGGGCTGTCACTTTCAAAACCTTGACCTTCACACCAGGAATCATATCTCGCAAGATATTCTCAAAACCAGACAACCCCACAGCTACATCATCATCGTCCCTTTCCTCACCACCTTCTGCATCTTCCGTGCTTGTGACAAGTAGATCATTTTTGTCTTCGGCTGGGCCTAAGGGGCTCAAGCCACTGGTAGGACCTGATGACTTGGGGGAGACGATTGGGAAATCTTGAGAAACTTCCCTCCGCTTTAAGTACACTGCCTGGAAATCATGTGAATGCACCATTTAGGGGGGCGAAAGAGAAAATAAAACATCTAAATACCTTGAGATAATGTATATACAAAAAAAAAAAAAAAAACCGCTAGAACATAACGACCGTGAAATGTATATAAGGTTCCAAAAAAAGATTCATAAACAAATAAACACGGACATATTTAAAATTGTGTGTATATACATATAAATATCACCAGCTGGATACACATGAACAAACATGTAACAAATGCATGTTCACATAATTACGAGTGTGTGTGTACATATACACACACACACAGATAGATATACATGAACAAACACGTAAAACACCAATGTGCATGCACACACAGACTTGTACGCACCAATGTCAACACAAGATGAAATAACACCATGTAAAATTTAAATTCCGTGGACATGGTGCAACAACAAGAGAATTAGCAGAAATCGAAAGGGATTTTACCCAAAACTCCACTCTGATACCTCCTAAAGCAAAATATGCATACACACGGATAGAGAGTCTGCCTGAGTCGTGCGGCCCCAGGTGACACCTATTGTAGTGTAGCACCTGAGATCAACCTTCTCCTTCTCGAGTTTTGCTTCTGATTTCTCTCTGAGTCTCTAGTTCATTACCTTCTATTACCAATCCTTCTCCTGCTGCTCGCTTTGCCTTCTTTAAGCAGATTCGTGATAAGCAAAGTCTATTGACAAATGGACAGATGGCCAGGAGACAACTGGCAGTTTTTGGGGACTGTTAATGTAGTTGTAACTTCTTTCTCATATAGTGGATTTTCCTGACTGGACTAGGTCCCATGGTTTTTTCCTATTTATGGTTTTCCACGTAAAAATAGTCTCCAATCTACTATACATTTTATGAATGCACGATTATGGTGGTGAAAGAATTTAAAATTTAACGGATACAAACTTAAATCCAAATCACAATCAGCATAATCACCCAAAAATAACTAAAAATCAAAATTGTTATCCATAAGATATTTTCACCCATAATCTAAGCCACCGCTCACACTCCGACATATCAAAGCCTTAGGGTCGCATTCGATCACCATATAAAGACCATATAAAGTAAGCATTAAAGAATCTGTAAGGATTAAGCATTTTGGAAATATCCAGTAAGATTCTCGCAGTCCATCCCATGCTTAAAAAAATGCTTTTATTCATACTTTCAGCAATTAGCACGGTCTCCCTCAAGCAGCAAATAATAGAACAAACATGGGTAGGAAAAGGAATGTACCTGCTGTTTGTATTCACCTTTCTTGTTAATTGTAAGAAAGATCTCAAACAACGGAGCACCAGCTGTAGCTGTAGCAAGCTGCCTGAAAGACAAAGTGCATCAGCCAATATCTTCTGCAGTAAACACAAATAATAAACAGACTGCAGGACCTAAGAAAAAACTTGTGAACGTAATTCAAATCATTCAATCTAACAGTAAGTTCAAATCCCAAAAACAACCAAGCTATACCTTCAAAATTCAGATGACCTAACTTACACCTCGTTTAGATTAAGGGAATTGGAGACAAAAGAAACGAAAGGAAAAGGAGGGATTGCCTATGTTGTGTTTGTTTTAAAATGACAAGGGAAAGATGAATTGAAATGGAAAAGAAGGAAAAGTCTAACCCTTTGAGTAGTGTTTTGGATATTTCTAAAGTGGGAGGATTTGGAAGGAGAGGATAAGAGGGTTAGAAATCACCCATCTTGCCCCAGTTTTTAAAACAAATGAAGTCTTGTTTAGCCCTTTCCACTCACAAAATAAAAGAATCCTTTCTTTTCTTTTCAATTCATCAACTTTCCAAACATGATAAAAGGAAAACACTATCCTTTCCTTGCTTTCTTAAATTTTTTTTTTCCCTTTTTATCCAAACATGAGAAAAGAAAGCAGAATTTGTTCTAGCGAGCATTCAAAGCATCCACAGTATTAAAATGAAGTGCCAAGAAATCATTTACAATATAACAAATACACATGAAGCATGGAAATGGATAGACACCAGAGACAAGTACAACCAGGGATGGAGCTATGTCATGCCCCACCTCAAAAATTTTATATTCTCTTTTTGCAAATATAAAATTTTATAATTCTAAAATCACCCCTTGACTTTTTAATATTTTCATTTTGTTGTATATAAAGAATTTCAAAATTCTAAAATTGACCAACTTCTAATCTTTAGACTCCAATTTAATCTCTCTTTGACTAAGAATCACGAAAATTCTACAAAGGTGCCGTGTCCAGGTGGGACTGTAGATACTGAAATTTCATGGATTTTTGTTTTGAGAAATTGACCCATCAAATGTGGGTCTCGTGTTTAATTAAATTATTTAATTGGCCCAAACTTGGTACACTTAAAATTATTTAATTAGCCTAGCGCAGATGATTAAATAAAAAAAGATAATTATTCCTAAAAAAATATATTTGAAATAATTATTCTTATAGATAATTATCACAATATAAACGGCCCGGCCAAGTTATAATTATGTCCTTATCAGGAGAGGACACATGTCATCATCTTATTAATCCAAGAAGCCTATAAATAGAGGCATGGAGGAAGGAGGAAGGGGTTTAGATATTGAGAATTCTAAAAATCCAGAATTACAGAGAGAAATTCAGAGGGGCAGAAATTCAGAGACTTAGAAGTTCAGAAATCCAGAGTAAAATACAGAAGTTCTGTTGACATTCATCCCCAACACTCAATCCTTAAAGAAGAAGAGCCACAAGCACAACTAAAGTCGTGCTGTTTTTCCACAAATTCAACAAATTCTCTGAAGACGAAAAACAGCAAGCACATCCAATCCAAAGTCGTACCATTGTTCCTCAAATTCAACAAAGAACAACAAGCACATCAAAATCGTACCGTTCTTTCCATACGATTCAACAAGTTTGAAGAATCGCCAAACAACACTGTTCAAGACCAAGCTTCTTTAGCCATCGATCAGAATTCATCGGCGATCTTCCTCAACTACAAATACTTGAAGAAGATTGTCAATAGCCCGATTCAAGATCAAGCTCCAACAGCCCTTAGATCCAACTAACAATGGAGATCGAATTAGAGGATATTTTCTTTCTTTTTACAAAGGAGATTGAATGTTCATAAATCAATAAAATTACTATTTGCCCCATATTTCGTTCTTTTATTTGCAGACTACGAAATTTGTGTGTACAGGGACACAGTAACTTCATGGTCACTCCAGGATACGTGTCCAACACTTCATGACTGTGTCCATACTTCAAAAATATTTTTTATTATTTAGAACACTTGGCCAGCACATCTTGGACACTTGATCGACACATTTAGGACACTTGTTCAACACATTACGGATACTTCAAGAACACATCCTACACTCTTCAGCTTATATAAAACAAACACGTGACAGTCCTGAAAACAATATTATGACCATACATCAAAGTGTCCAACATCTTTTCCTTTACAAATTTGACATTCAACAGATGTAGTATGCAATGAACAAAATAATATAATATATTCTTTTTTATATTCGTTTAGTATAGAAATTATAAATTAATTTGGAAGTCCTATAATTGTCCATATCAATATATATATATATATATATATGGATATTTATATTTATATTAGTCATGTTCGTATCTTACTTTTTTAGAATTTGACATGTTGGCGTATCAGTGTCCTATTGTGTTCATGTCCTGTGTAAGTGCCCATGCTTCTTAGCTCTTTGATCACTAGATACTCCATATCTCTGTGCGCGCTTTGTGTGACACTTCCAGGATTTCCTATAGGTGACTCTTAGATGTTTCGGGGCCTCCCTTTCCGTGGAAGGCTTTTTGGCGCACTAAGGCCCCTTTCAAGGTGGCCTTCTTTGCTTGGACAGTAGTTTTGGGGAGAATCTTGACGCTGCCACACTGGATGATTGATCATCTTCTTTTGTATTATCCAATGGCCCGAGACAATTGGGGCTCGCTTTTGAGTCTGTTTGGGATCCACCGTGTCATGCCGGGGTCCTCGAGAGGCTTGGAGAGGTGTACAATGGGTTCCCAAGTCCATGATTTTTGGATGGTTGCGCCCTTGTGTGTGTGGTGATGTCTTTGGAGGGAATAGCATAGGAGATCATCTGATGATGAGGAGTCTTCTATTAGGGTGTTGAAATTATCAATTATTAGTTATCATTTTTGTTGGGTATACGGGAGGTAAATATTTGGGGTTGATAGTTGATTTTTTATTTTTGGGACATATTGAGAGTTTAGGGGCCCTATTCGGTCATTGTGCAGCTTTTTTTGGGCTACGCTCCCTGTTTTTGAGCGTTTTCTATTGAAATATTAATTATCAAAAAAATCTCTATCTTTAATCATCTCTTTTCTTATGCTACACGAGTCTCTTTTCATCTATTTTTTTTTATCACAATCTTTGAGAAGGTACCCAAAAGTAACAATAAATAAATAAATAAATAAAGTTAAATAAAAAATCCTCATCTGCTTTTATTTTATTGTATATGATACATGGAAATCATAAATATAAACCCGCTAAAAAAAATGTGAAGACCTATATTGTAAAGTGAGCAATTTCCTTATTTATTTGGTTTAATCTAATTACCAATTAGTTTTTGACTCGTAGAACCTAATTGAAAATAGTTCACACTCCCAATACAAAGACAAGTTTCATTTAATTTTTAATTATTGCAAGCGATGACTTTCTAGGTTTGTTGAATCTTTGACTAATTTGACTTAACAAAAAATTATTAATATTGTAAAAGGAAATGAAGAATACACTAAAAACACGCACAATTGAGTTTGTTTTGTATAATTGTGTTATGTAAATATACAAAGTTTTTTTCTTCAATATGTATGAAAGTCTTGTTTAATATAAAAACTCGTTGAAAACCAATTGTAAATGTAATAACAAAATATTACCAAGGATTGTTTCTCGCCACACATGTCTCACGCCACCACAGCGACACCCCCTAGGGGATTGTTTCTGCTTGCTACCAAGGACCCAGGCAATATATATGCAACAACAGGACAAGTTTAGCCTGATGTTATGCAAAATTGGAGGGCAAAACAATATATGTGGTAGGAGGATCCGTTTTTGGGAAGTGGTTATGGAGATTTGGGAGTGGGAGGCAGAGACTTTGGAGGGGGGTTATTGCGAGTAGATTTGGGGAGGATGGAGGAGGTTGGTGCTCTCTGAGGTGCGCTCTCCTGGTGGAGTAGGGGTTTGGAAATTCATTGGAAAGGTCGACATGAATTTTCTAAACAATTTCGTGTCAAGGATGGAAGGAGGATCCGTTTTTGGGAGGACATTTAGTGTGGCAAGCGATCTTTGGCCCTTTCTTTCCCCATGCTTTTTAGGATTGCCACAGATCGTCATGCCTTGGTGGTCAACTGCTATCAACTTGATAGCGGGAGAACATACTGGGATGTGCATTTTTTGAGGCATTTTCAAGATTGGAAGATTGAGGATGCCATTGCTTTTCTGGAGCTGCTGTATAGCTAGGTGAATGGGGGAGGTCCTAATTCTTGAGTGTGGGCTCCATCTACCCAAGGTTGTTTTGAGGATCGGTTTTTTTATAGGTGTCTTATGGATGCTCCAGGGGATGCCTTCCAGTGGACGGCTATTTGGCATTCTAAGGCCCCCCTCAAGGTGGCTTTTTTTGTTTGGACTTCAGTGCTGGGGAAAATCTTAACCCAAGATAATTTAAAGCGGAGGAGACAGGCGGTGATCAACTATTGCTGCATGTGCAAGAGAGATGAAGAAACAATTGACCACCTTCTTTTGCATTGCCCAGTGACTCGTGATTGCTGGGTTTTGTTTTCGAGTTTGTTTGGGGTTCAGCGGGTTATGCCTATGTCTTATAGAGGCTTAGTTAAGGCTTGGAGAGGTGGTATAATGGGGGCCCAAGTTTGTGATTTCTGGAGGGTCACGCCTTTGTGCGTTTGGTGGTTTTTATGGCTTGAAAGAAATAGGAGATCTTTTGAAGAAAAGCCGACTCCTATTGGTGCGCTTAAGTTCTCCATCATTAGTACTCTTTTTTGTTGGGTTCTAGGGAGATATTGTAAATCCATGGAGGAGTTAGTTGATTTTTTGGACTCTTTGAGAGTTTAAAGGCCCTATTTGGCTTTGTGTAGCTTTTGAGGGATGCGTTCCCCTTTTGAAATACTTTTTAATACAATCTTATTTATCAAAAAAAAAAAGAAGAGAGAAGTACATGTGGGAACTTTCCCTTCTTAAATTGGTCAACTAGTAAAGTAAACAAATTATTAACAGGAAAAAATGCACGAATTACAGAATTGTGGATCAAGATAAAGAACTGTCTAACTTCTGCAAAGTTAAAAGAAACAAAACCCAAAAAATTTCGTTTATGTGAAGGCAAGAAATCATGAAGGGAAGAGGGAATGGACTAACAAAGGAGCGCGAGGGAAGCGAAATATGATGAAATCCTCACAAACAAAAAGTCCAATCAGCATCTTTTAGACAGACAATCTCCACACGCACAAACACACACACTCACACACACACAGTTGAATCTTTCAAAAAAAGGCCATCAGATCACTTATCTTTTTTGGTCTTCCAGTAAATTCTAAGATTGCATCTCACCAATACAATAACTTATCACAAAAAAAAAAAAAAAAAAACCTCACCAATACTATAATGTTAAACATTTGAACTTCCTCTTTCCAGAAAGCTTATTTTGCAGTAAAGTTCTTTCCAGTTTCCCCAATAAAAGGTGCAAAGTTGAAATGGAACGACGAAAGCAAGTGAATGTCCTTACCGGGGACTATAACTTCTTGCTACATATCTTCCATGCTCTGCACTTATTCGGATAATGCGACCATAAGGATCATTAGCATCATCCGGAATTCCAGCCCACCAACCCACCTGAAATGCCAGGATAAAGAAATAACTAATGGTACACTAAGTAAACATGTAATATGCAACTGCATATATAGTTTATTTGATGTTTATAACTATGAAACACCAATGGAAGACTTGGAAGTTGGAATATGGTTTTAGATACAGGGAATTGGAAAATCGCATACCAATTCAAGCTACATGAAACTTCTCCATAACATATATTGACCATATAAATACCACATATGACAAGAATAACAAAGAGACACAGAGAGAGGGAGCTGGGAGAACAGAGAGAGAGAGGGAGGGGGAGGCTGGGAGCCATGGTCATGTTCAACAAATATTTCTCAGAAACAAGACAAAATATTTTTATAACAAAATCGCGTCGTCAAAGAAGAAACCACTTAATATTTTAAAGGGGTAAAATCATAAAAAATAAAAAAACCTGTACTATTCCAATTAATCACATAAACCCCTGTAGTATCAAATAATCCCCCAGTACTAACAAGAGTGATCATTTTACAACATTCCGTGATGGATCTGTTAACTAGATTGTGAAATGACAAAATAGACCTTACTGTTTTAATTTTAATTTACAAAGCTGAAAAGGGTATATACAGAGGCACTTTGGTCATATGGAAAGTAAGCAGGAGCACGTGATACTCACGTGTGTCACATGCTCCTTTCCCATTAGTGTCTGACGGCAAACCAACGGTAAGGGGGTAATTTGATGACTTTTTGAAAAGGTAAGGGGGTTTCATGAGGTTTACTTAGTACAAGGAGGTTATATGCATAAATTTCAGGGGGAATTTATGATTTTACCCCTATTTCAAATACAACAATAAACAGGAAAGAATACAGCAAAATATAAATCCATGAGTATAAAGGACATTCTGGCTGCAAACTATAACATTAATGGAGAATCAATTATGCTCTGCAACACCACATAAATTCAGAGCAGGCAACAATTCATGAAACTAGACATATTAAGCAAAAAAAATGGTCCATCAGGAAAGTTTGTGAAAGCACTCAATTTAGAAACAAACAGTCGTTCCTTATCATAATTTAATGCAATAGGACAAGCAATTATATGCAAATTATACTTTGGAAATTTCTGTTAACTCACCAGCCCCGCCCCAGCATAATCCCGTATGAAAGCTGCATCTTGGTAGCGCTGTTCCTTTACAGCTCCCTACAGTCAGAAGTCCACAATATAAAAGTAAAGAAACAAAGATTAGCAAACGACGATGGCTATTTTTGCAAAACAAGAATAGTTACATAATTCTCCTACATTCAGATGAGACATCACTCTCCCAACAGTGTCATTAGTAGCTGCAGCTGCAATCGCCACCTTAATCCTAGCAGCATCGTTGTAATCTTCTCTATTAACAGCGGAAGCTAACTGTAACTGTTGAGAACAGTGTAAATATTAGTGTCAAAAAAATCAAATATTGTAACAAAATTTGGCGAAACCAAAATAGCCTTTACAAAGCATGCATAAACAAAGTGTATCAACAATAATTGATGAATCCATGCAAGCAATGAATACCTGTGTTGTTTGAACGCTCAAATTCTATATTCTTATTTCCTTATTCTTTTGGATCCATGGTTGACATTGTAAGACTGGAGGATCTCATGTATTTTTTGGATAGCTTAAGATTATAGTAGTTCTTTTGAGGTTCCAAAATATGACCAAATTGATTTCAAATACTCAGGGATACAAAGAAGGCACTCAAAGCCTCAAACTGGAAGAGAGGGTAGTGGATGTGCCGGTGAGCCAGTCAGAGAGCTACCACAGAAACTCATATTTCATGAAAGTGATTTCCTCGATTTCACATCTGTTACTTTTTCGTTGACTAAATTACTTATTTTACCAGTAATTAATAAGCAACAAATCTCAATGGGGTCATTTTTGTTTTTGGTAGCACGGGAATATTCTACTCCTCCCCACAAATGTGGAAAGGTTAGCTTTTTCCTTCTGAAAAATACAGACTCATATATATTCTTTTAAACAAACTCAACAATGACCTAACTCATCCTGAAACTCTACCAAGGAACCAAAAAATATGCAAAGCTAACACAGAAAGTAATGAGAGAAAGAAAGAGATGTCAATAGGATATGCTTGAGCTTTTCCACAGTAGTTCCACCCCAAAAGAAATCCTTCTATTTTTCTTCATCCAAATGTTCCCACATTTCTAAATATATTCAAAATTTATACACTTCGCATGTTTCTTTCTGAAACATTTCCAAAACCTTACATTTTTTGGTCTACCAAAATGAAACTACAAACAAGAGTGACTACAAACATATGGAAGAGGCAAACAATTGCATTAGATATTAAATTCAAGATTGTCTCATTTTTTGAAGAGAATGAAGTGTAAACCTAAAGGAAAAAGCAGCGCCAAGTGTCCAGGAACCTCTTGAAGCACTACTTGCCCACAAAATGATATTAGAATAGTTGTTTAGCCCCTTGACTTGGAGTATACTCTATCTAGTACTTCTCCTCCATTAAGCATTGAAAAATACTATCTTTCCTTACCAACTCAATGCACATATTTTTTTGCTTTCCTTTTTGCCCTTTTGGTGCCTTCAACTATAATCAAATCTCCTTTACACAGTTCTACTGAGTGGTCACCGTTGAAAATGGCTGAATCCTAAATGACATTCCATTGCCTCTGCCTCAAATGGCACGACCCTAACTCTATCACAAACAGGTTCATTTCAATCGATAATTGCATCAATAAACTAAATTTTCAGAAGTGCATCTCTAGCTTCAAGTGCATAATTAATGAATTTATTTTTGATTTATTACAAAATTGAGATTGAGGGCCTCTGAGTTCCAAAATCCTAATCCAATTCATTCTTGTCACACCCTTTTATCTTAATTATTATTTTATATCCTAATCCAACTCATTCCTGTCACACCCATTTATCTTAATTATAATTATAAAATATGAAGAAACTTAGTCATTGGCATATATCAAATGCATTTCTGCAATCAATAAAAACCCCGGAAGTACCTTCAAAACAGAAACAATGCGCTCCTGCTCATCTACCTCGGCAAAATGTTTCCTCCATCTCTCCCAATCCCAGTCTTCATCGTCACTCTCCACCCCACCCAATCTCTCCACAACATCCACACTCTTCGCAACACCTTTCTCCGCTTTCTTCTGATCGCGAAAAGAATTCATGTAATCATCGAACCGTTTGAAGAGGGTTCGGAGTGAGTCCCACCGGCTGTTCAAGGAGGAGTTGTCGTAGGGAGAAGGTGAGTCAGGGTTGCTATCCTTGTTGTTGTGGCAGCGACAGAGGGTGGTGGAATCGGACACCCTAGAGAGAGAATGAGAGCTAGAGATAGAGTGAGACTGGGGAATTGAGGGTGCTGATCGTTTGAAGTGAGAGTTGAGTTTAGGGTTCGGGAAGGTGAATCTGTGAGAAGAGGGGTCGGAGCGAGTGGATGGGGAGGGGAAGGTTTGCGGAGGTATTAACGCCATGAAATGGAGGAGCGAGAAAGTTTTAGGGAGAGAGAGAGAGGGTGAAATGAAGTTTGTTTCAGGAAGAGTCTGTGGATTGGAGAGACACAGAGATAAGGATGATTTTCAGTCGCACTCAAGGCCGAGACTCGTTGTAATACACAAACTTACACACGTATATTATATATATAACACGTACACACATCATACGCAGAATTCATTCGTGCTTCCAAATCTTTTTGTCGTTACTTTCATTTTAGAGTAAAAATACAGTCGCACCTCACGAAATTTGACAAAAAAAAAAATAAAAATAAAAAAATAAAAAAAATGGACAAAGACGCGTCCTTATATGAGAAATTAACCAAATTACCCTTTAATCATTTATGAGACTGTTTTAATTTTACAATTTAATAAATTGGACCAATTAACTTCATGAACAATTTATGCATAAAAAAAAAAAAAAAAAAACTTTACATTATTCACTTTTTTTTTTTTATTTACTTTATAAATGTCCTAACTTCTTAAAAATATAGACTTCTAAAATGATTTTTTGATTCAATATATATATTTCAAATAAATTATATTTTGTTATTATTTCTTTTCTTTTTCTTTTTTATTTTTAAATTAAGATGTTTAATTATTTCATCTAAAAAAATTAAACCAATCTCTTTTCCTTTAAAAAAATATATATATGGTACCAGTATAACTTTATACATCTTAAATTATATATCAAATATTATGTATTTCCCAACATAAAAGAAAATAATAATAATAATAATAATAAAACAAAGAGAAAAGAATAATAAAACAAAGGGAAAAATAATAATAAAAAAAAAAGGGGGGGAAAAAAAAGACATGCATAAAGTTAAGATACATAAAGTTATATTATTACCTATTTTCTTTTATGTTGGGAAATGCATAATATTTGATATATAATTTAAGATGCATAAAGTTTATATTGGTACCGTATTTTTTATTTTTAAAGAAAAGAGATTGGTTTAATTTTTTTAGATGAAATAATTAAGTATCTTAATTTAAAAATAAAAAAGAAAAAGAAAAGAAGTAATAACAAAATATAATTTATTTGAAATATATGTATTGGATCAAAAAAATCATTTTAGACATCTACATTTTTAAAAAGTTAGGACAGTTATAAAGTAAATAAAGAAGAAAAAAAAAAAGGAACAATATAAAGTTTTTTTTTTTTAACTTTTTTTTATGCATAAATTGTTCATGAGAATAGATTGATCCAATTTATTAAATTGTAAAGTTAAAAAAGTCTCCTACACGATCAAAGGGTAATTTGGTCAATTTCTTATGTAAATGGGTGTCTTTGTCCATTTTTGAACCTCTAGGGGGGGTCTTTGTTCAAAAAACAGGTAAGTTTCCTCCAAGTGTCCTTTTGTCAAACCTCAAGGGGTGTGACTATACTTTACCCCTTATATTATTATCATGTGATTATTTTATTTTATTTATTTAATTTTTATAATTTTATATACCAACACAAATTCATTCACATTTCATTGTTTGAATCAAATTTGAAATTGGAATTGACAAAAGAAATTGAATAATAAATTAAAATGAAATTCTTTACAATTCAATTCTTTTTTATGTTTGGAATAAACTGAAATTTGTAACATAATGAGATCACATTTTTTGTGATTATTTTTATTTTAAGTAATTTATTTTTTGAGTTGGTGGTGGAAGATTGGAAATTTGGAAGGAATGAAGTGTAATTTTTTCACTTTTTACTTTCTAAATTCTTTTAGAATCAATAAACATATGTGCTTTGGAGAGGAAAAAATTTATAATATAGTTAGGCATTTTTTAAAAAACAAACAGTAAGTTTTGATTTTTATTGTTCTGTTAACTAGAAGATATGATTTTACATGTCTTTTACAATTGGGCAAAAATATAAAATAAAACATTAATAAATAAGTTAAAAGAAACCATTTTTACACTTCAATCAATTAAAATAGTTAAAAGAAAAAAATACAACTCAGCAATAATTATTTAGAGAAAAGCGTTGCTTGATGATCTTTATTGGAGGTCTAGGCCTTTATTTATATACAAAAAGGTGGTGAAATTATGGTAGGACTCGCATTGTTTGCCCTCTAATACATTCCATATACAATGTTCTTTCATATATTGTTGTTTCCTTCTATACTTCTTTCCATGCCAGATTTCTCTTGCTCTAGAACTTCCTTGTATAAAGGATCATTTATTTGGTAGGACTGGTTCTGTCTATAAACAAATCTGGGCCAAATGTAACTTGGTCCAACTGACTTTATTAATGAGCTGGAAGTTCAAATTTGGCGATGTTGGCCGTAAGTGATTTTATCTGGGCTTGAACAGTGTTGGGCTTTTGTAACCCACCAAGAGATTAAAAATAAGACTTATGTTGTGGCTACGTGGATGATTTTTATTGGAGGGGGATTTTTCCCTCCACACATACTCATTTGTTCTTACGGGAAATTGTTACATCATTCCCTTTCAAAGGTAGAGGAGAAGCCTTGATCATTACCTCCATAGTAAAAATATTATGTAATATCACTAAAGACCGAGTTCAAATAATTTTGTGTGATATTTACCTCAAAAGAAATAATATATATATATATATATATATATATAAAAGCATATTCTCTAATAATTTCAGAGATATTATATGAAATTAACCACAAGAAAACTAGTGTAAAAATCGATTAATATTCCCTTTTGGGCCACCCTTAGGAAACTTTTTAGGTCAATTGTCTGATGGGACAAAATTGCACGCGCTAGTAATAAATTATGAGATGATGATCTTACACAATTATATATATATATATATATATATATATATATATATATAAAAAAACAAATAAATAGATAAAGACCAATTAATATACAAAAATAGTTTACATTTAACAATTTTTATATTTGTCCTCAAATAGAGTTGGCTAGTATGCTTTGTTAATGTCTTTCATCTCACATATCAAAGCGAGGTCAAATTTTAAAAAAATTACCATTTTTTTTAAAAAATATTCATCAAAATAGCTTGAAATGACGCATTTATCACCGACATTTATATAAACCACCTAGAGTGAATATCAATGCAATCTTCCAACAATTTATATTAGTTACTCGAATTCGAGCAACTAATATCTAAAAATTCTACACATAGAATACCTAATTCGGATCCCCTATGTCATTCAGTCTTGCACGACCATGTAACTAGCAACCTTAAGTGCTTGTTCAAAATATATACTAGGAACCTTATTCAAAATATATTTGGTTTATTCAAAATATAACTGGCAGCCTTAAGGGTTTCACCCCATAAAATAAAATAAAATAAAAACAAGGAAGATTTACAAATCATGCTCTTGGCCATATCCTTTAAAGTACGATTACGTCTTTCTGCAATCCCATTTTGTTCAAGCGTCCCAGGAGTAGCTTCAAGAAATTTAGCAAAACGACCCATATGACAACCAGATTCATCATATCTTCCATAATACTCTCCACCCGACCTGACCTTACAATTTTAATTTTCCTATTCAATTGATTTTCAACCTCAACTTTAAAGACATCAAGAACACTCAATTTTTCTGATAATAGGAAAATATAACAATAATGTAAAAAATCATCGATGAAAATTACAAAGTAACGATGTCCACTAATATTTGGTATAGGAAAATGACAACATAAACCAGTGTGAATAATCTCTGAAAGTTGTTAACTATAATTGGAACCCTTATTTATAGAATTAGTTAATTTCCTTTTATACAATCAACACAAATACCAAAATCTCCAAAATACAGTGGAAGCAGTATTTCTTTTTTCAATTATTTCCTTAAAAAAAAATGACCTAACCGTTTATGCCAGGGTATGGTAGAATTATCATTCGTCTAAAGAAAATCAGACTCTAACTGAAACCTAATAACTCCTATCTAATTAACGTCGTTTCTTCTAAAGATATGTAGAAAAGTTCTATATTAACACTTTATTGTCACTAAAATATTGTATACTCACTCGCAATCACAAGTCTACTGGATGACACTGTATACCTTAAGCCTTACAAAAGATACTTAACCCAGAATTTGTTGGTTACAACAATTTTTTTTTTTTTTTTTTTTTTTTTTTTTTTTTTTTTTTTTTTAATTTTATCAAAACAGAAACAAATTCATTCAACCGGGGAAAAAATTACATTTAGGGAGAAGAACGTCTAACAACCACTGGGGTCATACGCTCCACTCAACATCGCCACATACGGCTACCAGAGTCTTTTTACTCAACAAGTGAGCCACCGAATTTCCTCCACGAGGAACCCATCCCAACGCTGCACCCAAACAATCCTTAAGGAGAAAAGAAACATCCTAAAGGACCACCGCAAGAGACTCCACAGAGGGGGACAGCCGCATCACAGATTGACAGTCCCCTTCAATCAACACATTCTGATATCCTCACCTCTTCAACAGGATAAGGGATTCCCTTAACACCAGACCCTCAGCAAAGAAGAGCCCGAAATATTCCGAAGAAAAACAGAGGCAATCTTAACTGGATGACCGAGGTGGTTCTGAAGGATCAGACCCCAGCCACAAAACTTCTTGAAAGAATGGAAAGAGGCATCAATATTAAGCTTAAAAAAAACCCAGGGCAGGGGGGTACCAAGTTGCCGACAGAGAAAGAAAAGAAGGAGCAGGGAGAGACATCAAATCCGACTGCCTAGAGACTTCCAAAAACTCATGAAAAGCTCTCATCACCCATTGAACCACATCCAGGGGCTCCCGAAGATGACAGTTAAAAATAAGGTCATTCCTGCTCTTCCACAGATGCCAACAAATAAAAGCAACCAACCCAATACCATCCGCAGAAGAGTCAGAGGAAGACCATCGAGAACAAATGTCCATCCATCGTTTCGGCCAAGTTGAAGGCTGCTGACCAGCAAAATCAATCCGAAGAGGACTAAGCTTCCAAACCTTGTACGCAAAAAGGCAAGTACATAGGAGGTGATCAACCGTCTCAACAGAATTTCCACTAAGAAAACAACAAGACACATCGGACACCCCGCAGAAAGAAAACTGTTGTTGCACTGGAATACGGTCATAAAGAGTCTGCCAAATAAAAAGCTGGATTTTTCTGGGAGCCTTGAGTTTCCAAACCGCGCCACATAATACTTTTGGCAG